GGAAGAGTAGAGACTGGAACCATCTCAGTTGTTATGGGAGATGGTTCTGTCTATGATGTGCTCAGATAGATCGAAGATGAACAATAAGATAGTATGAACATTGAGACATTAGCCGTGAATGCCTTTTGAATAAACTATGTTTCATAGGAACTATAAGATGAATAGACTTCCAAATAGTTGACTTACGATGGTTTTCATTTACAAATATTGCTTATCACTGCAAGTTCTCATGATGAGATTCCCATAAAGCTATTGATCAATAATATATTCTCATAAAATCAATAGGAAAAGAAAAACTAGGAAGACTAAAAAGCAAACTGGTAACACTTTCCTTTCCATGAATTTGAAAATTTTTACACTCATAATACAGCTATTAATTTGATGAACAGGAGGATTAAAGGGTAGAGGAGTTTATGAGCATACATTTGTTAAGCCACCTGTGAAAAGCGCAAATGAGAAATCGGATCTCTGATTAATCAATTGAAGCTTCAAGGAACCTTTTCCTGTGCTCTTGTAATTATTACTGGAGAAATTGGCATATTGATACTGAAATCAGAAAAGGAAGAGTTTCATATCAAAACATTTTAATTTTCAAGTTTCTTTAGCTAAGGATTTTGTGCCGCACAAACCTTGATAGGCGCAGAACATAGAAATGGGGGATTCACCCATATGTTTTCTGCAGGGCAGGTAGAAGCACTGGAAAATGTGAAACATTTAATTCCCAATCAATGCAACAAGACTCTTGATTTGTAACTCATGATTATACACGAGCAAGATTATGATGTTAACCCTACCTGAAGTTTGCAGGAGAAAATACTCCAATCCAATCTTCTGCTGTGGGTTTCGGATTATTGTATTGCAGTGTAACCCATTCTGTATTTTGTCCCTAAACAGTTGCAAGCAGAATCATCAACTTCTGCTACCAAAACTTATTATTTACATCTTATGCAAGTAGGTAAAAGCAGATATGAAGCAGCTAAAAGCTAAAAGAAAATTCTCAAATGAACAATCGGAGCGTACCGTCAAGCCAAGGACATTAGGAGTGGCTTTGATATAAGCACGTTCATCAAGAGCAAGTGTTGTTTTATGAATGGCAACTTTTGAGAGAGGCTGGTGCTCATCTGACACTGCTAGCTGAAAGGTTGCAAGGACAAGCAAATAGAAAAATAGCTCTCTTGACTTCCCCATCCCACCCATCATCATCTGAAAAGCACCCAAAAGTTATAAAATGAAATCAGTGATACTAATCAACAACTAAACTCATTCACAACAAAATAAAACATGAAAAACAATAAACTATAGTCGGGTTAAACGAAAAGGGTTAGTCTTTACAGTCTTGTGAACTAAGGTTCCAATTTCTGCTGCGAGAATTCTCCACGCTCTGAACAAAAATTGACTTCGGAAAAAGATACCGAGGGGGGAAAAACATGAAAAACATAAAGGGTCAAACACTAGCAACTAAAATCGTCGTGTGAATTTAAAACAAGCTATAGGGTGGCATGAAAATCAATACCCAGTTCCCCTGATGAAGAAAATTGAAAATCAACTTGTCATATAAGTTGAATCAAATGAAGATGGAGATGTGCAAACAGTTATGGCCTCATGAGGAAGAACAGAACATGAGATGACAGGTAAGTAGTATTATTTTAACATTACAAAAAGTAAAAGGCGGAAAATAAAAAGCTTTGAAGTTACAACATCATTCGCATGGGTTCACAATGTTTCCTCTTTTATGTCACTTGTAAGGGTCTCCACAGTGAGAAATCACAGTGAGAGATATATTTATTTATTTAAATATGTGGCTTGGATTGGTGTAGTGTAACATATTGTATGGTTTTTATCCATAATTTTTAATTAATTTTTAAATCACATGAACAATAAAATATGTCCACCAGTGGGAAAACAAACTAGCCAACTGTCCCCTCAAAAAAATCCAAATTTATTAATATATGTCACATTTTTAAAACAATATAATTAATATTAGTTTAGTGCATACGCTGTAAAAGAAAAAATATGTTCATATTGAAATTGTTATAATAACAAATTATTAAAAGTTAAAAGATATCATAAAGTATATTTTTTAAATAATGGAGATGCTAAAGTGCTATCAATTTATAGATAAATATTAATGAGGAAACGAAAATTTAATGAAATAAATTGAATAAAAATTAAAGACGTGTGATTTAAAAAGGTAAAAAGACAAAATAAGATAAAATTAAAAATAATAATAACATAAATTTAACTATTCTTAATTTTTTTTCTCGTTTCATCTTTAATTTTTTATTAACTTTTTCATTATTTCACCTTATTAAAAGAAAGTTATAGATAAACAACTTGAATTGTGAAAAATAACTATATTTTATGATATAATAATATATTATATTATTAAATACAGTTTTCAAATAAATATATTTTAGCGTCAAATTTCGAAAGAATCTTTTGACTTTATCTAATTATTTTACATGTTGACTTAAAATATAATATTTTGCATATAATAATAGAAAATTTTAAATATATAATAATTTAAAAGTTAAATATATTTTTTATTGAAGTTTATTCCTATTTTTATTTAATAAAATTATTTATACTTTTTGTAATCTCAAACAAATTTAATAATAAAAAAAAATATTAGAGAATATTTTAATATCTCCTGTTAATACTCTGTAAAAAAAAAACTTTTAGTAACATGATCTCACATGAAAAATATATATTTAATAGTAAATGAAATAAAATAGTAAGAAAAAAAATTCTCGCAGAAATAAATAACATTGACGTTAGATCCTGGTTTTTATGCTCGTAGTTCGTGTTTTATATAATAAAGTTGACTTTATTTGTTTTTATTAATAATAATTAATTTAAATATCTATATAAATTTTACTTTATTTCTGTTTTGAAAACTAGTGTAAGAAATAATAAAAATTATATTTGATCATATTAACCAATTTTTATGAATGTTTAAAATTTTAATTAATAAAAAATCAAAACAAATAAGACAGTTTCATGTTTTTTACTCTGTTTTTAATGAGCATGTTATATTTTGTTTTGAGTAAAAATATCATAGCGGATAATTAATTGCTAGCAATTGAATTATTATAAATATGGTATCATAAATAATTATTTATTATTTACTAATTTTGTCAAAATTTGTTAATGAATGGTTATAAATAATTTTTTAAGTGATAAAAATTACAAGCAATATTGAAAGATATCTATTTAGTAAAAAAATCTCATATTTAATTTTCGTAGTTAATACTTGTCAATCGATATTAATATTTGCCTAATAAAATCAGGAAGTTACAATGAAAAAGAAACATCAAAATAAATACTAGCAAACAAATTCTTATAAATATGGTTAAGAAAATAATTATTTACTATTTACTAATTATGTAAAATTTTTCAATAGTAAAATCATTTAAAGGAAGTATTAATTATTTATTGTAATATTCCATTCAAATAACTTTTTACTTAGTTTCTTAATTTCTTAAAGTCTTTCAAACTTGGTTGAGATGATTTTTTAGAGTTATATTTAGAATAGATTCAACTATATTAAGATTTTTTATGAGTTAGGTCTAGTTAAAATTTATTTAAAAAATATAACTTATCTTGATGTATTTGATAAAAATTATTGAATTAATTTATTAGCAAAATGTGTTATAGATGATTATTTAATAAATTTGATTTTTCTAATTTTTTTGGTATTAAGTACTATTGTGTTAGATTAAAAAAATCAACAGTTTAATTTTATATAATTATTGATTTATAATTAATATCAATTATAACACAATAAAAATTTAGTACCAAAAATTTAACCGTAAAACCAAACTCACATTTAATCCATTCACAATTTAATGAATAGTTTTTCAAACAATAAAAATGACGTGTATTGTTAATGGTAAAAGATGTCTAGTTAATATATACTTCACAAAAAACTAATGATAAAAAAATAGCAATTAATATATTTAAAAGTGATTATATGTTTTTTATATTCAGGAAAAAAACTTTATATTTGTTTTTAATATATCGAACCAGGTAGTACATTCTTAAAAATTATTATTATCTTATACATAAAAAAAATAAAAATATATCCTGTAGAATAAATCATTAAAATTTCCTTTTTGAAACAGTTTTAGAGATATGTATTTATGGAAAACTGAATTATGAAAACAATATTTGGATGATCTTTTAATGATTAGATAATGTATTGAGTTTTAAAAAGAATGGATATATGCATTAACCATCCACAAAATTGATGAATTTAATCTAATTAAGCAAATTTAGAGTATGTTTATCCTTACAATAACCTAATTGTTTTTTTTTTTAAATAGGTGGATATATTAACCAAAAAATATGCAAAACTAAAAAAATGGTTGAGACACCCTTATTTGCAGAAGGAAATTATACATCTTTTTTAAAATTACAAATAAAATATAATAATAGATAATATTTTTTTTATCTAAGAAAAACATTACGGTAATATCATTAAAAATCAATTTAACACGTATGAAATATTGTGTGCAGAATTATAGTAAATTATTATATTAAATAAGTGTATATAGTCGAAACAGTGTTTAGTCGTTGAATGATATTTTGGACAAAAATGGTTCTCAGGACATCATTTCTCAACTTTAATATACCCTCTAACTCTTAAGCATCGAAAGAGAAATAAGCATGCGACGAGTGATTTGGAATTCGATAGAAATAAGAAAGTAGAGCGATGAGACCCAAAACCTCGTATAAAATCCAAATAAAATTTAAAAAGAAAAAGGATGAGTCATTATTAGGTAGGATCGTCAAACTGAGTCTCGTTTGTCATTTGTTCATCAAAAGAAAATGTAGTTCATTTCTTTGTGACAAAAGATTCTTACATGATACGGATAAATATCAGCGGCTCTAAGCCTCAAAGTCAAATATACAAAATTGAAGTTCCAAAATGGTTAGAAATTTTCCTTTTTGTAGCGTTTTGTTGATATGTTGCATTCCATGGGGTTTCTAAGACACTATCAGCATTGGACCAATGGCAAAATCCATGACAGCAAAAGTCCTGCAACCCAGCAATAGTTATTAGTGAACATAAGTAAATATAACACAAAGTAGAGTGTTTGTTAAGTTAGACATGGTATGACTCAACCAATTCTCATTTGTATAGTTGCAACTTTCAAGAATCTTCAAAGAAGTTATTTTTGCATGCTGTGTTGAATGTGTGTGTCTTAGCAGAAGATAGAAAAATTTGTGTTGGGAGATACAGTTTCTTGCCTCAGAGCTACTTCAAAATCAAACATTTCTAATATCATTATAAAAAGTACTGAAAAGTATCTATACTTATAATGGAAAAAGAGGTACACGCCACAATGCAGAGCAGAGGACTACAAACAATATCCATCTCTGTACCTCCAATAGTCAACAAGGTTTGAATTTTCAGTCCAGATGTCCCACTCCAAGCATATCCTAATCACATGAAAAATCAAATATTCAGACAAACCAAGTTTGAAAAAACAACAAACAAAAATATAGAGAACTAATAACAGTAACAAGAGTGAGCTATAATACTCACTAAGTACTAACCTTGTCCAAAGCAATTGGTGGTAGTGTTAGCCCCATTTCTGCAAAAACAAGCAAAAGACTCATCCATACTGTCAAAGCCACACAACCCTCCACTGCCTTCACAATCCTTGCAACTGTCACTATAATAAGAATCATTATACAGTAATGACACCCCAAACTTCCACTTCATGGGGTCCCCTTCATCTCCAAACTCATAAACTGAAGTATAAGAGGAGCATTGCAGCTTTGGAAGATCCAAACTGTAGTCTAAACCAAGTCCCGTAGGGTAATCATATACACAACAAGTAGATGTTGGTGCATTCTGTGGCAACCCAAGACCCGTGACACCTTTGCATGAATAAAGCCCTCTACAAACACGAGAGCCAGATCCCGTGTCACAGAAATCTTGTGTTGAGTCAAACACAGGTGAAGTGGTGGAGCAACCAAGCAGAACAAAGATGTTTTCCTTGGCCAGTGTGAAGGGGCTGGTCTTGTCCAAGGTGAAGCTGCCAGAGTTTTGCATCTCGGAGCAGTTTGACATGAAGGGGTCTGTGGCTATGACAGTGTTGGTTGGATAGTCTATTGAGGTGATTGTGTAAGTGCCTGACCTTGTTGTGTATTGAAGAGAGCCAAAGTTACATTTTATGTACCTAGAAAATGCAGGGTGGCCACAGCCAAAGGCTGTGCCAAAAGGGTATTTCACTGGGATTGTGCCACATGTGTTGTGACATGTGGCGTTAACTGGGATGATAGGTATGGCGGAAGATGCCTCTTGAAGCAACAGGAGCAAGAAAAGGGTGGTGGTGAAAAGGGAGAGTGACATCGGTAGGAGGTTTTGTAAAGACCTTGTGTTAATATGGAAAAGGGTTTTTCTTGTGCCTTTTCTTTTTGGCCAAATAATGGATCGAAATTGGTATATTCTTTTCGGTGGAGCTAATTGCTTTTTCAAACATGCAGACACTTTTTTCTTCCTAAAAAGAAGAGACCGTTTATTTTCGTGGGATCAAGCTAGAAAGCAATAGTGCCGTGTTACGTCATTGGATTTCAGGAGTAAAAAAACCGAGACGCATATTTTACTCTTGGACTCATACAGAATAAGACACTATACTCTTTGAGAGAAGAGAGATAGTTGTAAAACTTAATTAAATATATACGAGGAGGTATGAGAAAAAGTGTGTAAAAGTTTAAAATTAGTGTGAAAAAAAAAGTGCGGCTTTTTTAGCAAACTGGTTAAAAAAATTTGGATTTTATTACATGGGTCTAAAAATTTAAATTTTACTAAAATGGGTTAAATAATGTACAGAGTACCAATTTTGAAATACTAAAATCGTAATTGAAACTACAATTTTGATTGAAATCGTGATTTCAAGCATAAATTTAATGATTTCGATTTTAAAAAAAATGTGAAATCGTGTTTGGAAGTATAATTTTGACGAAAATCTTACTTCCAAACATTATTTTAGTGGTTTATATTAAAAAAAAATCGTGCTACCTAACACAAGTTAGGCATAATTTTTTTTCTAAAATATGATTTTTTAAATATTTATTAAATAATTCTTTTTAATTAAATTATTAATTTAATAGAAACAAAATTATTTAGACATGGTTAAATTTAATTTACTACATTTATATTAAAATATTATATTATTAAAAAAAATACAAATTTATTTTGGACCTATATAAGTAGACTAGTAATATTCATTTGGAATTGGATGAAATTAAAATTCATACACCTTATGAATACTTTGTAAGTTGTAAATCAGATCGATAAATGCAGTCAGTTATAAATGATAAGAAAAATAAACAACAATAACATACGAACAAGGGAGTCGAAGAACTTAGTATTCTCCATAGTCATACGGTGGTGGATCTTCTTGGAGCTGAGGGAGCCGTGGTCCCCAAAGTTTTGTAACTTTCATGTAATTTATGATTTTGACTCTCCAAACATAATAAACATTTAATATATTTACTTGTATATTTACAATTTTATCCTCTCAGTCTCTCCTTAGTTTTGTAACTTTCATATCATTTATGATTTTGTTTCCCTCAAACTTAATGATCATTTTAATATATTTAAGTATATACCTACAATTTCATCTTTTTACCCTTTCATACTCTTTCTTCCTTTTATATTTATTAATAATATATTATTTGGTCCCCCCAAGATCAATGGTCAAGATCCGCCACTACCACCATTGATTTAATCGAATTGTGTAACTTATTGATATTCGACGATGCTGGGGATTGAATTGGTCTTGTATGTCAAACTCATAATTATCTCGATTGTACCTTTGAACATGACACATTCAAGTACGTTGTTCGTTTTCGTTAAGCACTATAGTAATATGTTCTGGATACTCATGTTCAGCTCGTAACATGTACTCTGCTTTTATGCCTCTTTCCACAAACTAAAATTTAATTATTTCAAAAGTTATTTTTACTAAGGCAGATATAGGTAAAGCTCGTGTTCCTTTGGAAATAGAATTCATAGACTCAACAAGATTTATTGTCATATGTCCATATCGTTTATCTCCATCATAAGCTTGAGTCCATTTCTCTAGTAGAATCTCATCTAACCAGGACATTTGTTGTTAAAAGTTAGACCTTAAAGTAGATAGTTTTGTTAAAAGTTTTGGTTGTTTCATCTCATATCCTGTATAAAAAAATATTATTTTAGATATATTTTTTTAGAGAAAATAATTGATCTACGTTAAAAGATGTTACCTAAATTGATGAGTTGTCTTTTCAAAGCAACATTTTTGAACATTTTGTTGAAATTTGAGGCAATATGACGAATACAATACACTAAGGTGAGATCATTCTAATCAAGATCTTTTGATTGTAAAGCTGACAATATTCCTTTGCCTCTATCTGTTATCATGCATAAATTATTTTGAGGTGTAACGTAATGTCTTAGACGTTGCAAGAACTATACCAATATCTCTTTCGTTTCACCTTCCACAATTGCAAATACAAGTAGAAATATGTTTTTATTGCTATCTTGTGAAGTTGCAATTAATAACGTAACATAATATTTTCTTCTTAGGAATGTACGGTCAACTTAAATAATTGGCTTGCAATATTTGAACTCTTTTATACATCGCTTAAATGACAAGAAGACACGCTCTAATATAAATTATGGATTACTATGGACACCATGCATTGACTGAGAAGAACAAACGTACTGAACAATTGTACCAGGATTACTATCTTCAACAGCTTGCAACCACCTTGGAAGATCATTATATGAGTCATCTCAATCTCCAAATGTCATTGCAAGTGCATTTTGTTTCGCTACCCGTGTTTTTTTGTAAGTCACTCTATAACCATGTTTGTCTTTGACTTTTGCAATCAAAGTTTTTGTTGAAAGTCCCACATCGCCTACCTTATGTCATTTGGTATGATTTAAATACATGTTAGGCTACTGCACATATTGCCAATTGGTTTTATGTTGGAACCTTAACATGGTATCAGAGCCAAAGCCTAACATGTTTCCGGTTATTGTCATGGACCAAAAGTTGCCCTTTAGTTGGGTCAAAAATACCCTTTGCCTGGTCTGGCAGGCTTCGTTGGAGGGGGGGTGTGTTGAAAGTCCCACATCACCTACCTTATGTCATTTGGTATGATTTAAATACATGTTAGGCTACTCCACATATTGCCAATTGGTTTTATGTTGGAACCTTAACAGTTTTAATAGGAACAGAGGGATCTATTTTAACTAATTCAAAAATAATGTTAGTAATGATGGAAGAATCTAAGTTTTGATGATCCAGATTTAACATTGTACTCAAACATGTATGTGATGCTTCAATTTTCTTAATCTCTCATTGGGTACAAATTTTACTGTATGCATTGACACCCATTGTCATAATATATACAACGAGTAATATATTTGTCAGTTTTAGACTCAACAACAAAAAATCTGTATCCCTCATCAACATGAAATTGTTTGATTGCACTTACTGATGTCTGTTTTGATGGAAAATACCGACCTTCCCAGATGTTGTTTTGATGGAAGAATCTAAGTTTTGATGATCCAGATTTAACATTGTACTCAAACATGTATGTGATGCTTCAATTTTCTTAATCTCTCATTGGGTACAAATTTTACTGTATGCATTGACACCCATTGTCATAATATATACAACGAGTAATATATTTGTCAGTTTTAGACTCAACAACAAAAAATCTGTATCCCTCATCAACATGAAATTGTTTGATTGCACTTACTGATGTCTGTTTTGATGGAAAATACCGACCTTCCCAGATGTTGTTTTCGCTTGTCTGGGTAAATTGATTTGATGATTGTCCAGCACGTAGCAAGATATCATCATTCATAGACATTGCAACAGTGAAAAAATCATCTTCTTCTTCGATAAAATCTTCAACAATATCTTGAATAACTTGAAATAGACGAGGTACCAACTTGAAATATGTCTGTCTAATTAAAAAAAATTGATTAGAAAATTGACTTAAATAATTTATAAAATTTAATAAAAAGTAAATGACTAAAATTTTTAAATAAAATATACTTAAATAAAAAATGTAAACAATTTATAAAATTTAATAAAAAGTAACTAATTAAAAAATTTTAAATAATATATACTTAAATAAAAAATGTAAACAATTTATAAAATTTAATAAAAAGTAACTGATAAAAAAATTTAAATAAAATATACTTAAATAAAAAATGTAAATAAAATATAAAATTTAATAAAAAGTAATTAATTAAAAAATTTAAATAAAATTTACTTATATGAAAAATATAAATAATATATAAAATTTAATTACAAAATGTAAATAATATATAAAATTTAATAAAAAGTAATTGATTAAAAAATTTAAATAAAATTTACTTATAAAAAATATATAAAATTTAATTACAAAATGTAAATAATATATAAAATTTAATAAAGGGTATCTCGATTAAAAAATTTAAATAAAATATACTTAAATCTACCTTTATAAATTAAACTTCAATAACTGTAAATAATAAAGTGTAATGGGTTGATTTGAACGAAATATTGAACCATTTATATATGTCTTTGAAGTCCTGTTACAATTATTCATTTGTGTCTGTTGATCTGAGCTAAAATTGTAGAAAACTATTGATGAGTTCTTGTCTATATAACATGCAATTAACGCATGTTGAAATAGGAAATGATCCAAAATCATGCAAGCAAAAACGATTTTAGCAGTTAAACAGATGTGTTGATGTCGTGTGTGGTGGCGCGAGACAAATGGCAAAGTCGTGGGAGCTGTGACGATTTGTAAAGAAGAATCGTTCCTGTTATGATGATTTTCTCTCATCATTACATATAGAAATTGTGCATGCTGCCATGATTTCAATGCAAGCAACAATACCCAGCATCGATTAAGCACAATGTCCTCTTGGTTGAATCTGCTTTAAGCCTGAAAAGCTTCATGAGAACAATAGTGTCAAGAGCAACACATGCGGCTCAAGAATCTTGTAGGAATTCATAGTTCAATTATCCATTCGTTTGGGTGTTGATTTTTCTTATCAGAATCAACTTTCTCTGCCTATAAACACAACTTACAAATTTGAGTGTTCTCATTTGTCTATAATCACTTTTTTATTTTCAATGTTCTTCATCACTTCTATATTTTCAATGTTCTCATGTGCTGCATATTTTGAGTCTTGTATTTGATAAAGTATATTGTTCTGTTACATTCATACACTCATATATTTCGTTTATATATTGCACTGATACGTTCCCTTTTTCATTTGATTATTCATTATTGTTGCGTTTGTACTGATTTTCATTATGCTCATCAGTTGCTGCTTTTCAATTTTTCCATATT